CCTGAAGTGAACAGAGGGCAGAGCCAGGCTGGAGACCCTCTTCTGGGACAGCTCTGTAACTCTGAGACGCTACAGGCATCTCTCCCTGCACATCTGTGCTTCTAAAAAATCTTGTTAAATCAAATCATTTGAAAGGAGCTTGAGGCGGTCACTATTTAAAGGACAGTGTAAATAATTCTAAAGGTGCTTCTCCCCTGTTATTTGATGTCTTCTTTGGCCAGTTGACTTGACTGGACACAGGTGGTTTTTCCTGTGTCAGTTCCCAGGCTGATCACCTTAGACTTGAAGAGAAGGCTTGTTTTGGGTGTCCAGTGCCCACTCCAGGTTAAATTCCTGCTGGAGCATTGCAGTGGACCTGTGAACCCGTCAAGCAAAGCCCATCCCAGCAAGTACCAGGCAGTGCTGGAGACAGACTAAGCCTGGGCCAACCTGAGCCAGCCTGGGAGCTCCTGGGGAGTGGGGGTCGGGGGCTGGAGGCTTGGGGCCAGGGAGGGAGGGCTGGTCTCTTTGGAGCAGCTTCAAGAAACCTGAGCCCAAACAAAATCAGATCAAGGCCTAGTGAGGGTCTGGGACTGCTTTGGGAACTCCAAGAAGTGGATTAAACCAAAGAGGACCCGCCCCCAGCCCCACCCCTCTGCAACCTTTCCTCCAGGGTCAAACCCTGACCACAGACATATTTCCCCTGACTAGGAGTCTCCCAGATCAAAATCTGGAGCTTCCGAATTCTTTTCCCTGATGGGTGTTTTTAGTGTCTTTCCAGAGCTGAGGCAAAATACCATACATGTTACTCTAGATGAGAAATTAAATTTCAGGATTCCAATTTCATAATGCCAACCACTGCCTTTTTCTCTCCCTTCTGTAAATCTAAGATTCTTTAAAGAGTGTTGACTTAGGGCCGGCCTGTGGCTCACTTGGGAGAGCGTGGTGCTGACAACACCAAGTCAAGGGTTAAGATCCCCTTGCTGGTCATCTTTATAAAATAAAATTAAATTTAAAAAAAGAGTGTTGAGTTAATGTGACAACTAACAGTAATTCAGGTCTGCTTTGTAAATATCCTTGTGTCTGTTGCCAAATCCCACAAAAGCTTGTTGTCTTTTTTGTGGCACTGGAACAAGAAAAAGCCAAATGAGAAGAACATTTCTATGTGTATTGCAGACCTCATGTTATTGCTTAATATCCTTTGTTCATTTGATTAGTTTTTTATGAATCAGTACAGAAAACAAGGTTATCTTTCTTGAAAAACTGGTAAGTTTTCTTCATCAGATAAGGAGAGCTATGTAACCTGTCATGTTTCCCTTTTTTGCTTTGGCTTCCAGGAAGCTCAGAGTTAAGTGTAATGTTCAGTCTTGTAACTGTCCATCTCAATGACCTCCTTTCCTTTTAGCATCATCCTTTAAATTTTCTTGTTTTATTATTGAGAAGGTGGATTTTCTAATTCTAAACTGCTCCCATTCCTTTTTAAAAACAGGCAAATCCCGGGCCGGCCCGGTGGCGCACTGCTACAGTGCGCCGCTTGGGAGCGCGGTGGCGCTCCTGCCGAGAGTTCAGATCCCACGTACAGACCTGTTCCCGCTCACTGGCTGAGCGAGGTGTGGGAGCAGCACCGGGGGTTGTGATCCCGTTGCCGGTCCCAGTCCGGTACAGGCGCGACACTGAGGGTTGCGATCCGTTGCCGGACACGAAAAAGGAAAAAATAAAAATAAATAAATAAATAAATAAATAAAACAGGCAAATCTACTTCTGGGATTTATCCAATAGAAAGTTATAAATAAAAAATAATCCCCAAAGAAAGAGTTCATGTGGGACTCCTTAAAATCAGGGTGGCACAAGTTGATTCAAAGACATTGTGCAGAGGGTGACAGTGACTCCTTAAGAGTGAGAAAGCTCTTCCACCTCCTCCCCCAGCTCACGCCTGGGCTGAGGCACTGTGTCAATGTCTCCTTGCTGGCAAGAGAGAATTTCAGTGTTTCAACAAGAGGCATTGTTTTTATTTGATTTATAAGGCAGTAATCTTGAGGACATCCTGGGGCAATTTATTGTCACATAGACAGCCTGTGCCTGCAGATATGCCCTGATCTGGATTCTTGTGTGGTTTCTGTCACTGACTTGAGAAAGACATTTAACCTCTCTGAGCCTCAAATGGCCTCCTTGTCTGTAAACAAGGGGGATGGTGGGCAAAAAAGGTGACTTGGAATTAGATATTTATCCAACTCTAACGGAGGGGTGGTTTTTACATTTAAACACCAGAGAAGAAATTACAAAGGAAGAATTTGAGTATATAAAAAAGTAGACATTTGTATATTAGAAAAAAATGCACCTACCAGCAAAAAGAAAGGAAAGGAGCAATTTCAGTAACAATCAAACGAATGCAGAAAAAGCCAACAATGCAATTCTGGGTTTTGTTGATCAAAGAAATAAGCAAAACAATTTTTTAAATACCCAAGGCTGGCAGCAATATGGTGAAGCTGGCTTTCTTCAACAGTGCTCACAGGGAAAATTAATCCAACATTTTTAGAAAGCCATTTGGAGAGTTGTATTGAGAGTTTTTAGAATATTTATAACTTTGACCCGGAAATTCTATTTCTAGGACTCTATGCTATGAAAATAATCCATAATATGGGGGGAAAAAACTCCTTGCAGAAAGATGTTCATGGGAGGCTGTTTGTATTATTTTAAATGGAATCAATACAAATGTTCAATAGCACAGGAATAGTATTCACAAAGTAGCATAGGACATGTTATTAAAAATAACGTTCGGGCCGGCCCGGTGGCGCACTGCTACAGTGCGCCGCTTGAGAGCGCGGTGGCGCTCCCA